ACCCACTTTGATGCACCCTTGGTGCTGTTGATCCACTGTTATCAAGTCTCAGCTCCTCATGTGTATCAGGATGTGTTATCTTCACTGTCTTACGTGTATTGACAAATTTTCCAGCCTGCTGTTGATTATATGGAGCAGACATATTGATTCCCATATTTCCTAGTTGATGAGGAAGCTGTGGTGCAAGCTGAGGATTATATCCCAAGTTCTGGTTATGATGCATGATTCCCTGAGTTTGCATTAGTTGATGTTGGAGACCAGGCACATAGACTTGCGGAGGAACTTGGGAGGGATTTGCCATCTGTAACGGCATCTGAATTGGCATCTGAAGCGAACTTGTAGGCATACCTTGGGATTGAATTTGTGGATTAGGTCCTCCAAACTGCATGGAAATGGTTTGCTGGTGAAACGGTGATGCTACAGATATACCTGCTGCAGGAAGAACAGAAGGTTTGTGTGCTGGTGATGGAGATGCAGATGACACATGGACATCTCTTTTGACCTTACTTTTACTTTCTTGAGCAACAGGATTCTCATTCGTAGAAACATTCTTTTTTGGCAGCTCCTGTTTAGGAGCTGATGGTAATGGAATTGCTGGCACAGCTCTTGAAGCTTCACGACGGGCCTGCAACAAAGTCCACAAGTAGTAATCAATAAATACAGGTGCACAGCACAATAGGAAAAGGAAGAAAAATGACATTTGTACAAAACAACCAAGCCTTTACACAAAATGAAACCTCTGTAAATCACTTTATAGAGGAATATGTCTGAAAGAATCTGTCTTTGTAGTGAGCTACAACACAGTATTAACGAATGGTTCATGGTACATTGGTACGCTTTTAGACTACTCTAACAAAACTGGGTAGAGAATTATCTCTTTCTATCTATTCCATGTACCAAAGTGCTTTATTCCAAAATAATAATAGGATCAACTAAGAGTAGAAGCCAACCCGATGTAAGTTTTCCTAATAAGATTTTGAAGTAAAAACCAGATCAAACCAAAACGATTATGATACTATCCCCATTTGGATTCAACTGTCACATTGTTGGCTCAAACTAACCTATCATCATGTCAATTAATCTTGGACTAAAACATTAATCCATCAAATAAAATTAACTTATAAATCAGATTCACCACATACTATTAATTAGCTGAGCTTTTAACTGAACCATACAAGACAAACTGGGGAACATCTTATGAGTTTCAAGATGGAACAGCATAAACATCTGTGAAGCAACTAATTTAATGATAATGTTCGAAATGAACAAGTGGATTAAAAGAAGGCAGCAAACCTGATCACGCTTTTGCTCATCCAAATTAGGTGGAGCTGAGCTTGTTCGAGCTGGTACCTGGAAAGAAAACATCAGGCACAGCAGTGAGTATACATACCGAAAAAGTTCCAATACATGCAAACCATGATAACAAAGATGCAGCTATTGAGACAATATAACTGACAAACCTGCATTCCATTCATGAAACCTGGACTTATGGATCCAAATTGCAGAGGAAAGCCCTTAGCTCCATCCCCTAATGAAGTTTTTTTATTAAAAAAAAAAAGGTCAAGCATTATTTCTTAGAACATAAATCAAAGAATCAGGTCAGACAAAAACAAAGCAAAAGCCAAAACACGAAGCAAACAACAAGAAAATACCCTTTGAAGGTGTGGAAGGTAAGGTAGTTTCAGAGCTCATGGAGGATGATTGTGAAGATGGAGCCTTTGGAATAGGTCGACTAGTCTTATGAGATGATGCATCATTTGGCTTAGGGATGCCTGCTGGAGATGGTGTGTTAGACACTGCTGAAGCACCAAGAGAAACGTAATCATTCCACTACACTATATACCTCGATGATTACATCAACTTTCAGAAAACAAGCAGAGGGCTTCCCAAATAATTAGTTCTATATTGTATTACAGCGATAAATATGGGTATCTTACAATCACGAGCAAGGAAAACAGCAAGGGACTAATCTTACAAACAGCCATATTACCCAGAATAAAAGAATAACAATTATTAAAACCAAACAAATTGCTGAAAGAAATTTGACCCCCCACCCCCCCCCCCCCACCCCCTCTCTCTTCCCCAACCACTCAAAGAAAATAAACCCACCTTGTAATGTGGATTGTACATGGCCACCATTTTCTGCATAACGTGAACTGGTAGCAGCATTAAAATCAGGAGGACTCACAGGTCCAGAATTTCCTCTTGATTGTCCACCTTGAGCATGGTTAACCTTCTTGTAACTGATCATAATCGAAGGAAAAAACAAAATTCAGTACCATAACACCCCTTCAATAAATCAGTTCTCGCAAATTAGTGAGAAACAAATTATCATTTCATCCCATTCCCTCAACACAATCATTTTCCTTATTCTTTAAAAATTCTCATATACATTTATTTATTGTGCTGTCAAAAATAAAAAATTCTAATCAACCCATAGTTACTCACAAGACAAAATCAAAAAGCTAAAATTAGTGGCATTTCCAATGAATAACAAAACCCATTTAATATGGCTATCAATCCTTTAATTACCAAAAACAAAAGAAAATCCACTCATCAATATATCTCCATTCCATCTAAATATCTCTATACCTCTTTTTTTTTTTTTTAAAAAAAAATTCTTTTAGCTTGATATTCTCTCTCGTAAGCCTAACTATGCTATGATGTACCCAAATCCTAATCAATACATGGGTTTTTCACAAGTGTCACAAAAAATAATAACATACATGATAAAAACACCATTCAAGAAGATTTTCAATCAATCAATTCTCACAAATTAAGTAAAAACTCAATCATCAACTATTCTCCAACCCCTTTCCAAAATCACTCTCTTTTTTGTTTTAACCTCACACCTTCTCATGTATGTTGTCTTGATTACTATTCTATGACAATCACCATCACCAAATCCTAATCAATTCATCAGCTCCTCACAAGTGTAACCAAAAGTAATAAAATACCCTAACAAAAACACAATAAACCCAACACTCTAAACAAACCCTAATTCAAAACAGCAATATTATACCTCTGAGTGTTCGAACCCGGAGGGGCGGTGGTGGTAGTGGGGCCGCTTCCGCCACCTCTTCCACGACCGCCAGGAAAATTCCTTTGCTGACCACCAGAGCCTCTACCAGATCGTCCACCGCCTGGTTTTCTAAACTGTGACTCGTTCTTGTCAAACCTTGATTGATTGAGGGACATATAGACCCTCAAACCTTCACCAGAATAATTTAAAGTTTACTTCTTTTTGCTTCTTTCTTCATGTAGATCATCAAATCAAACCCAATTCAATTAATACACAGAATACAAAAATCAAATAATTAAATTTACCAAGAAACCAAAAAAAATCACAAAATTCATCAAATACAGCTCTATAACTAAGAAATCATCAAACCCCACAATATCCCGATTGATAATACAAGAAGAGAAAGAACAACCAATTAAAAATCAAGATACAAAAAAAAGTAAGTGAAATTAGGGTTAGTAAAACAAAAAATGCAATGCAGTTTAAAAGTGAAAAATACAAGAGAGTGAAAAAAGTGAGGAGAGAGAAAAAGGGGAAGGGTAATTAGGGTTTATGAAAAGGAAATTGGCGAAAAAAACCATGAAAATACAGCGATAAAAAAAAAAGGGGGAGAAGAAGAAGAAGATGGAAGTATACCTGAGACGAGAGAGGAGAAAGAATTTGTTGGGTGTTTTGCGGAGAGTCTGCTTGTTAGTTTTCTCTCATATACTAAAGTGAATTTTTAAGCTTCTACTGTTTTTTTTTAAAAAAAAAAAACTAATTTTTGGAAAGTTGTATTTGAGTACAATACCTATATTTGAAGGGTATACTCATAAAAAAAAAAAAAAAAAAAAAAAAAAAAAAAAAAAAAACCCGAGTATTAAGATAAGGAAGTTAAAGTCGGAAATTATGAGGGTGATTCATGTCAATTTATGTTTGTAGTTTTATACTTTGTACAATTGTATCTCATGATATAACTTATTTTAATAATCCAGTCAATTGTGGATCAAGGTTAATAATTGTAAGAAATTTGTAAATTTTTAATAAAAATTTATAAAGATTTGAATTATGAGTTGGTTGTCAACTTTTCTTAAAAAGATATGATCTTTTTCTTAAGCTCATGCTTTGGTAATAAGAAGGGAAGTATGATCCATTTGGAAGGCTTTAGCCATGATGACTTCAATCTTAAAAGCATTACGAACTACAACTCTTGTAATCTTGTTGCAATAGAGGAAGAATTGGTTGATCCATCAAAGTTGAGTTTGAAAAATTGATGAGAGGGGGAGCTTGTAAGACATATATATTGAATTACACACTTAGATAGTCATAAAAGAGAAGCAAATGAACTTGTTCATCTAGATTAAGTTTATTATGGGATGTCGATTCAACTAAATTTGAAAAAACCTACAAAGAAAATTTGAACAACATTTTTTTGAGTTAGTTCACCAATGATTGATGGAAGGAGTTGCATAGGTTATTATGAGAGAAATACACTTTGAAATATTAGTATAGTTTGTATTCGTAAATTTTACATGAACAGACTACTCTTAAACATATAACTACACTTTCTTAGCCTCGAGGGTTTGGTAAATTCATTATATCTTGACTAAACATTCCTTTCTTGACCCAAAATTCCCCAGCCTTGTTCTTAATGAGTGAATTTCATCAATAAGTTCATCCACCATATAAATAGGTTAAGATTCTATCAACCACAACTTTAATGAGAATCTCTTTTCTAAGCCTAAAGTAATTGGAATTATTCTTCCATCATTGTAATTTTTCTATATCAATTTAAACAGATGTTAATCAATTAATCATCCTCCTCTTCTTTATCCACTAGTAAAACCTCACACGTATTCTTAACAAGCGTTTTCTCATATGCACATAAATTTCGTGCATTTTAGAGATTATACTACGAAAAAGAAAAGATTATTTACTTGTGAGAGAATTTCAATAAACTGAATATGAGTTTCACAATTTCACCCAACAAATACAAAAACCAAATGGAAGAAGAAAAGGAAAGCCCACCTTTCACCATTAAGCACTTTATGAGATGGACACGACAACTCACAATTGAAGTAAATTCTTATTCTTATATTGTCATCAGTAACAAGTAACCATAATTCAACAACCAAAATTTCTGCAAGTTCACTACCACTCAAGAGATCTTGCATATTTTGGCCATATGAAAATCGAAAGCAAAATGATTGCCAGCTGTAATTATAACTCTAAGCATTAATAAAATGCTGGAGTAAAATGTTTGAAGTACACATTACGCAAAAGAATACACGAGAAAGGTATAGGCTTTGTTGTCTGAAAAACTTCAACTCCTTGATCATTTCAGATATAGGTTTGATTTCAGTTGTTGCATATTCCACTGCTTGAAAGAGCCTTTATGCTCTATGGGTGAATGTATGTCGAAGAATCCATTTACCCAATCCTCTTTGATCATCTTCTTTGCATTTGCGGATAACAATTAAATAGCACAATTCAATTAACCTGCAAACCAAACATGAATATATATTCAATAGGCAAGTTTCATACCTGTTAAACATACTAGTCTTAGCAAGCAGGTCAAAATGTCTAATTTTTACCGCAGAATCAGTTCATTAAAGCAATTTTCTGGTTCCAGCTGCATAAACTCTTGCATTAACCCTCAGGCCCAAGTAACATTCACACCCGGATTTATCTTCAAGAAAGCAGCATCCCTCCATTTTCTCTGATAATCTTGAACGGTTGAACCCTTCTCTAAAAGCCATGAATTCAGCTTTACAAGGGAGAAAGCTTTAAACTGACAGCACAGCAAATCCTAGATACCAAGCATACTTAAATCTCGGTTAATTTAATACTACTCACAATAAACACAGAGAGTCAGAGACACTTCACAACAATGGCGTAGTTTGTTGAGTGCCTGTTCATAAGCGTACTGATTATTTTTCCCCCTGATGACCTGCATTTTTGTCCACTTTGCACAGGTCAGACAAACAACACTAAGGTGAAAATAAACACAAAATTTATGAACACATGACTAATTTGAGATCAAGGGAGTGTGAGATTGTCATAAATGCAACCTAGATTGAAACCAGGGCCTTAGGTGGCAGAAGACATAAATTCCAATTTGAGAAAGTTTCAGTGTGCCCACTATTTTGATTTTCCATTCATCGTGATCAAACATTTAACTAGAATAAATTTCAGTGACTTTGCATTTTATTATAAACTAACATTCATATAAACAACCTTCTTCATGAATATCTCTTTGATAGTTTGATGACATCAAGAACCAAACCTTCTCCAATGTACTCCCTTGTCTCCCTGAAACAAGCAGCAGAAACTAATGTCAATAAATAGCAGTGCAATAATGAGAAGGCAAATCTTGCAAAGCTTCTTTATCATAAAATTTAACATAACTAGGATATGACCTAAGAGAAACTCGTCTTTCATAAATTTTAAAGCTGTGATTCTGCTGCAATCATATTTGAGTTTTTGACTTGAGAGTATAATTTGTAACAAATCAAAAAAAGAGTTATCTTGAAACTTTTTCTTAGGCGTCAGAAAACATCAAAAAAAAAAAAAAAAGTAAAAATAAGCATAGGAAAAAGTAAGGAAGAAACTTCTTCACAGCAGATACTGCAATATACAGTCCTCTTTGAATTTTTGCAATCTCATGTTTGATTTGCCTAAGAAGTTTTTTCCCACTGTTCAATTTAGTATACTCAGTCCTCTATTCTAGAGTTTCACTCAAAAATAATATTTTCACGTAAACAGTATTTAGTGAGAAAAGGAAACAGCCAAGTCGAGCTCAGTTCTGAAAGAAAGAAAGAAAGAAAGAAAAAAAGGATGGAAAATTGACACACATAGAAGCCACGATCATGCTTCAAACATACTACCATACACAACATTATCATTTTCATTTAGTCTGCTAAGTGGCATTTTTTTCAACAATTTACCAAGCCTTCACCATGTGTCCAGCAGGGTAAGTTCTATGTTAATCCAACAGATACACAAGGGAGAATAAAATAGTTCAGACATTCAGCAAACTCCTAGATTGACTTAATCGTTTTAACTTTAAAGGCAGAACTTACATATGATACTGACTTACTGGGCCAGGTCTCAATTTCAGATCACTTTGAAAATGCAAAATACATTATATGTACCCAATGTAGTAATATTTGTACAATAATTTATCTATTTCACATTGTACTTTGAATGTGAGCATGCAACTTGGACAAAGAACCTAATTTCACCATCCCAGACTCTACACAAGTCCAACAGAATTTCTAAACCATATTTTATTGGCTTAACTATAGCATGGTGACATACTTTCTCACCAGTTACACTCTTCCAACCCCAGCCTACTCCAATATATGAGTGAATTTTAACAACATGCAGCTATGTAACCTAGACTGGACAGAAACATGTGCCAAATTGATAGCATCGTTATTGACAGAGTCAAAGACTAATTCATAAATTATAAGCTTAACTCTGTGGGATTTTAAAATGATATTTATAGCAACGGTGTAAGCTCAAACTCATAAAACCAGTCAACAAACAACTTATTCTTGTCCCATACAGGCATACATACCCCCTCCCCGGGGAAAAAAAAATGCATATCATTATAACTACTAAGAAAATATGGAAATGTGGGAACAAACACATTATTTCTCTTTGCCAAGTAATGGTACTATTTGGGCATTAAGTATGCTTAAAAAAACACATAAAAGCAAACAAAAGAGAGGAGAAAAAAAAATGAAGACTTAGATATTGATAACAAGACGTACAGTCAAAAACCTCATAAGATCAGCTTCCAAATTTGATACATCTTGTTCAATTTGCGTCCTTTCACAAATCCATGTACGTGACCACGAGTTGAATTAAAATATAAAAACTCAATTGAAAATAGGAATCCCACAGAAATAATCAGCAGCAATTTCATAGTACCCTCTCTATCATGGTCCAAATGCAACTTTGTAGACCAGGGGCACATTGCACCAGCATTACCACCGTGAAAAAATTAAACATCGAATCTACACTGCCAAACTATTAAAACATGTTTCAAACGCCTTTTGTACATTTTGTACGATTGCTGCTTCTTCCCTATTGATCAGATGAAAGGTGATAAATTACCAAGCAAAGATCCCGGCCAATTAAAAGAACGAAAGTCATAGCTCCCTTGCAATATCCTCAAGCATATGGGAGAAACTTGCACAGATATGAAACTTCCTTGTAGCCTAGATCAAGAGACAGCCAGAATCACATCCCTCCATTCCATGCGAGCGAAATTTTTTATTAAGATATACCATGTGATAGAATTGGGGACAAAACCATTCTCCAGGCCTCTATATAGAAGCATCAAGGCATCATTTGACATGCCAAGTTTACAATGCCAGTTAATCAAAGTGTTGTAAGTGATAGGATCAGGGGCAATTCCTTCAGCTTGTAACCGCTCATAGAGGTTAACAGCCTCTTGGATGTGTTCTGTTCTGCACAAACCATTGATCAAGCTATTATAAGTTACTATATCTGGTGTCAAGCCTCTATAAATCACCTCTCTTAAAAAGTCCAGTGCATTTTGTACCTTTCCTGTCCGACAAAGGCCATTGATTAGTATATTACATGTAATAATGCTAAGCTTGACTCCTTTTCGAATCATATCCTCAAATAACTCTAAAGCTTTTTCCACAGCCCCACCCTGACACAGAGCCTTTATTAAGCCATTGTAAGTGATTACGTCAAGAGGCAACCCTCTAAATAACATATCATGTACAAGCTTAAGTGCGTTTTCTGTAGATCCTTTTCTCAAATAAGCATGGATTAATGTGTTGAAAGTAATGGAATTGGCAATCACTCCTTCCAGTATCATATCTTGGTATAACTTCAAAGCCTCTTCCATTTCATCAACCTTGCATAGCCCATATATTAGAGAATTAAATGTATATATGTCAGGTTTACATCCATTTACTGACATTTTGGCATATGTTCTGAAAGCCTCATGTACGTTCTCCTCTCTGCAGTAGGCACTTATAATGCTGTTGTACCCTGCAGTATTCAGGCTGAGCCCCTTGGCAGACATCTGATCCCGGACTAAACTAGCTTCCTTGAGTTTACCTTTCTTACAGAAACCATCAATTAATGTAGTGTACGTAGTGACATTTAGCTCATATCCTTTACGTTCCATCTCTTCCACAAGTTCAGAAGCTGACCCTAGAAAACCCTCTTTGCAAAAGCCTCGGATAAGTATGTTATATGTGTATATATCTGGTGCACATCTAGAACCCGCCATGTTCTCTTGGACAATAGCTTTGGCTTCATCAAGTTTTCCAATAACTACATACCCGTTTATCAAGGTATTAAACAGCACGGTATTAGGCTCAGGAACTTTACCTAATAGAGCCCTTGCTTCACTGACTTGTCCAGCTCTGCACAGTCCATTCATCAAAAACCCATAAGTCACTGCATTTGGGGTGAAACCTCGAGCAAGCATCCGATCAACCAACTTAGCTGCCTCATGAATACGACTAACCTTACAGAGACCATGAATGACATCATTAAATGTTTCAACATCAGGGATACATCCCATCAAAATCATCTCTTCCAAAAGGGTCAATGCATCATTTATGCGATTAACCTTGGACAAAGCATGAATAAGCGTCTGATAGATGACCGAATTGGGGACACACCCATACTTGGTCATGTCCCTAAGAAGCGACCATGCAGTGTCCACCTTATTAGCCTTACAGAAAGCTTTCATCACGACACCAAAGGTAAACGCAGTTGGGGAAAGACCCCTATTCAACATATCATAAAACACATTGGGAGCAACCTCGTGACAATTCCCAGCAACCAAAATTTCCAAGACAACATTATAAGACTTAAAGGTCGGCTCGAAACCATAATCATTCCTCATATCCAACAACAACCTAGTGGCTTGTCCAGGCAATCCAGCCTTTCCATAACACCTCATAATCAACATAAAAAGGGACTCTCTAAAAACAATCCCCTCATCTTTCATTTGCAACAATAACCTATCTATCTCCTTAAACTCAGAAACAGCACCAAGTTTACTAATCAAAGCATAAAACACATCAAATGAATGGGAATACCCTTTCTGGGTACCGGCCCATTCGAAGAGCTCGATCGAAGTGGGCACATCAATAGGAAGCTCAATCAATTTACACAGTCTAATTGGTGTAAGAAAATTGAGTGATTTCTGAAGATCTTCAATGCCATAGGGTTTAAGTAATTTCTCCCAATCAGTAGTCTCAGAATTAGAATGCCCATTTTGATTAAAGTTCTTAACAATTAATTTATTACAACTAATATTATCATCATCATCAAAAGAAGAAGAATTTGAAGGAGACCCAGATGAACAAAATGAAAAACTGGGATTTTTAGACAAAGATTGGAGCTTTTGGGTCACATAAGCTCTAATCTTTGGTCTTCTTAACATAACAACTAAAAATTTCCCAGATAATTGGAAGAAAAATGAAAGGAGTTAGGAGAGAGAAAATAGTGTACCTTGCAGATAAATTGAAAGAATAAATATGGCGGTTTGAGCGCCAGGCAGCAAAGGAAGAAGAGAGAGCATGGGAATGGGAGTGAAGGATACAGCGCAATTGAAAATAGGCTCCTAAACAATTAAACGACACCGGTTTGAGATTATTATCCTTTTCTTGGTAATTTGGCCTATAATTTTTGAAAGAAAAAAATAAAAGGCTGTAATCGCAAAATGCATGCAAGTATGTAGGTTAGTAATTCGAGTAAGGAGTAAACAAACCAATTTGGAAATTTTATTGTCAAATTTTAAAAGTTAAAACAATATGCTCCAATAAATATAGGTTTACTACATAATATGATGTATTGATGAGTAATTGTTCTCGTAGGTTCTCTAAAACTTCGCACTATCACAATGAAATAAGCTACGTTACAATGTTGATTAAAATAAAAAAAAATCGAACTTTCATGTTCCTTTCAAAGATATAGACGGAAATTAATTTTAGACACGATATTTGATTCAATTCAAGGGGACAATCTTAAAACTTTAACCAAAGCATTACTTCTCAACTTATAAATAAGTATGAGCATTAAGCAAAGTTAAGTTTTATTGAAAAAAAAAAATATGTTAAAGCTTAATCGAAAAAAATATTTTAATACAAAATTAATTTATGTGCAACAATATATGATCCGAAAAGAACAAAGCTTAAGGTGGTGATATATACGTAATCTTTAGGATACATCATTTATAAGAGAGGTATGGTCAATGCTTTACCTATGATTTTTTTAATGGGGCATTTCCTTCTCAACCACTAATTGTATGTCATATGAGTGTAACTGTGTATTAAAGTCATATTACATATCTTTAAGAGCAACTATGCTCAACTACAAGTAATGTGACAAGAAATTTATTACTGAATTAGACAGGATGGATATAAATCATACAATATAGAATCATCAGTGGTAGAGTGGTAGTTAAAGATCACTCAACAAGAAACTAAAAGAAGAATGAGACTAAACCGTGGTGCAATTCTTAATAATACAAGATATTCGCTACTTTGTGAACATGTACTTAAGATGGTACAACTAAAATCCTCTTGATATCGAATCAGATTTAAAAGCAACTTTGAGAAGCTCTAGCATTTTTTACAAAACCATGGTAAGGGATAGAATTTGGCATCCCTCGATCTAATTTAAGATATGGTCCTAAAAACCCCTCCATAATAAATGGAAATTGAATCAGAAAAAATAAATTAAAATCCTAATCCTAACAACCTCGCTATCCACACTGAACCTTTTGTTGCAGAAACGATCTTGCAGCTTCAATGACGACCTGCCCACTAACAAAATGCTGCCTGCACACAGGCATGTAGACTTCAGCTCCACCAATCAGCTCAGTCTGTTTTTCATCAGTTTTCCTCAATGTGAAAGAGGCAGGTTTGCCACACAACTCACATCTAGCAGTGAGCTTAGTCACTGAGTCTGCCAGTGGTATTATACTGAGCACAGAACCAAAGCTCCTCCTGCAACAGAACTGACATCAGCTGCAAGTTTCCACGTACCATTTTCATATCTAAATCATAGGGAATGACAGCTTTCTAGGATACACTAAGATTTATTTCCAGATAGAGAAAGTAGATCAAGCAGTAAAAATTTATTCTTGATGCACTTAAGATTTAGACAAACTAAGATTTATTTCCAAAACATATGCCTTGATACTTGTATAGCAAATTAAATTAGGGGCACATGACATCAAACAGGCAACTGGGTGTAGTAGACTGTAGAGTAATGGATCAAGAAAAACCTCACACAGTCACTCCTAAGTTATACACTAGGATCCAGATGCTATACCCTATAGGATTGATGAGGAAATGATTAGATTAGTACCTCAAGTAATCACCATCTAGCCCGGCAACTATAATGGTCTTGCCATCATGGTCGGCAGCTTTCTGGCAGAAGTCGTATAGATCCTCGAAAAATTGTGCTTCATCAATACCGATCACATCTAGCTGCAGATACACTTGTTAGGAATTGTCAACATGGAAATTAAAACATATGCAAAAATGGGTTAGCATATGCTGCACAAATTTACAAACCCACTTAATCACCGGCTACCTAAGCTTCTACAGTGAGCATGTAAATGAAAAGTCAAATATATTGCAGAGAAACTAATCTTTTATGTTGCGATTTCCCGGTGATAAACCCAAATGCACAAAAAAGATAATTCTAACCTCATCATAAGCAATTGAGCCAAATTTCTGTTTGAACGATGACAAGTCATGTAAAGCTAAGCATGGACATTTTTCTCCATCATGAGTGACAATTGAATTGAGTTCATATCTCGTGTCTTTATTTGATTTTATCAGAGCCACTTTCCTGTTTCACAGATAACACAGAAAAGGAGCACTTTAGTGTTCCATTCATCCTGAATGCCGAAACTTAAAAAATCCAAGGCAAGAAAATTTCAGAACAGCAAAATATTAGCTCAAACTCAATGAAACTATGGGCAGAGAATAAAAAGATGTTAGTATTTAGGTCAGTAATGATATGCCATTCTAAGATACGGTGCTCAGATTTCAGTAGGAAAAAGGTATTAATATATATTAGGAGATTTCTTGACTTCTTGAATGATTAGATTTCAGTTCTTATACAGCTCTAATGCTCTACAAAATTGCTTTGACTACCCTTCACTTTTTGGGAAAGGAGAATGAAAGAGAGGGAAAAAAAAAAAAGAGGGGGGGGGGGGGTGGGGGGGGAGGGGAGAGACTAGTAGAGGAGGTTCCAAAGGCTCAAGAATTCTATATCTCATCCTCATAACATTTTTAACCTAACCTTAATAGTTGAGATTCCATTCTTGCAAAAGTTTTCAAGGATACAGAAGAGTTGTTGGGCATAGCATCCAAGTGATTTGCTTTGAAAACATGAGATATACTCAGAGGTCATTGTAAGTTGGCTGAAATGAAAAATATGAGCAAAACAAGAGAGAAAAGGTAATTATCTTACATGTTTAGATTGCTCACATACAACCAGCAAAGCAACCCTTTAATGATATCACCAATTCTGAGACTTGAAAATCTTGATAGTTGTACAACTAATATTACTCAAAACTTAAGTCTAGAATGTAATCACTGTCCATTAGTGCACAAGTCAAAACTTTAAGCATTTCATATATATCTTTAGTATCTTTGTGTGTGTTGTCACTCTTGTAGAAGAAATGGACTTCCTTTTGGAGCTCAATTCTACTATATCCAGGATCTTTTTTCACCCCAAAGTCTCTCATCAAACCCCAAACCTCAGCCACATTTTCCCACATTGCATGGGAGGCAAAAGTATGGGATAAAACAACATATTTTCCTGCATTTTCAGGCTCCAACTCAAAAAATTTCATTGCTGATAATTTCAGCAGCTTAACATTACCATGAAGACGACAAGCTCCAAGCAAAGAACCCCAGACCACAGAATTTTCCTTACATGGTGAGCTATTAATAAAATTATAAGCCTCTTCTAACCTCCCAGCACGCCCTAAAAGATCAACCATAGCAGCATAATGTTTTTTATGAGGTTGGATCCCATAGTCATTCTTCATTAGTAAAAAATATTTCCAACCTTCATCAACAAGACCTCTATGGCTACAAGCAGAAAGAACAGCAAGGAAGGTGACGTAATTAGGTCTCAGACCTTCTTTTATCATTTTGTCAAAGAGATCCAAAACCTCACCAGTCCTTCCATTGTGTCCGTATCCAGACATGAGGGCGGTCCAAGTAATTACATTCTTATCAGAAGATTTAACGAACACCTGATGTCCATCAGTTAAACAGCTGCATTTGAAATACATATCCATGAGTGCACTATTAACAACAACATTTTTCCCAATTCCACATTTTACCATGACACCATGGGCTTGTCTTCCCTGTTCCAGCATCGCCAGTGAGGCACATGCTCTGAACACAGATGAAAAGGTAAATTGATCTGGAGTCACACCAATATGCCTCATCTTGTGATACAGACTCAATCCCACATCTTCCATGCTTTTCTGTACATACCCTGCAATCATTGCATTCCAAGAAATTAAGCTCTTCTCTAGCAATTCATCAAAGAGAATGCAGGCAGTCCCCAACTTCCCTGCCTTAGAGTACAAAATCAACAATTTGGTCTTCAGGTATTCATTGAGAGTAAACCCAACAATAACCATATGGGCATGAATTAATTTACCCCACTCATATGTCCCTCCATGTATACATTCTTGCAGCAAAAGAGAATAAGTGTGCCAGTCCACAATTGCTTCAGAACGGCACAGTAGCCCAATTGCCTCCATCAATCTTCCAGAGTAACAAAGGTCCTTCAATGTTTTATCCAACACTAGGGAAGAGCTCTTGACTTGTGCAGCCTGAAAACTGGGAGATACTAACCGTGACAACAATATCCAGCAGCTGAAACTACACTCTCAGTTTTTTCTAGACAACTAGGGATGACAACAAGCTTAAACAACACTGCTGCATTCTGAGGAGGCTGTTCCAGGATGAAATGTCGCTACTTCTCTTCTAGGCCAGCCCAAAAGAATGTTTATTAATTTTTTTTCTAAATATGGTGCTTTATACAATCCTACTTTTAATGTTCACTTATAACAAGCTACATATGCTTCACTTACATTCCTGGCATTTCATCTAAAAAGCTAATGTACTACTCCATACTAAGTTTAGAAGGGCATATTTCTATTTCAGGATGTTCCGATATACTAAGCATATCTAGTGAGTTGAATCATAAATTTCCCATACTACTATTACTATGTGTAAGGCAAAACTATCATACTCTGTAATAAGATGCTCGTTCCTGACAATTGTATACTTTATCAAGGATAATTATGATACCCCCAACCCAATTCCTCGAAAACGACCTCTAACAAAAATGTGGCTCATTACAGTGAGGCAAAGGGAGTAAAAGTTTATGAATGTATCACGCAATATACAATTAATAATAATGTATAATGTAAAGGGTGTAAAATGATACATCTATTACCAAGCGTCTTTAAACAAAGTCCTATATATCCTTAATTATGAGAAGTCGAGATAATGTACGTATGTAACAACCATTTCGAGAGTCGAGACGACAAGGGTGGCCATAATCATAATAATTAAACAATACTCTATCACATAAACCATACTCCGCATAACATAGCATACAATTAATAATACTTCACAAAGTACAAGCAACAAAAATTCTACCAGACAATTTGCAACCCAGTAACGTAATATGAAGTACTTCATAAGTCTTAAATAAGTAATTAAGATGAAGACATTAGCACCAGGAAAATTAACCAAACAATTAATCCCTAAATCCCTAATTAACATTTCAAGCATATATCATGATAAAAATTGATTTTAAAATATAATTTAAAAAATCATCAGGGAATAACCTGCCATTGCTGCACTCTGATTGGATACGGCGAAGAAGGGAGGTGGTTTTTCCGGCGAACATGGGGCCCACAATAACATGAATTTCACCGGAAGACGACGGCGGCGGCGAAGGATGCTGCTGCGTTTGGTGAGAGGAAGAAGCGTAACAACGAAGAGTACGCAACATTGGGGAAAAGGGTGGAAGAGGAGAGAGAAAATTAGGGGTTTTATGGAGGAAAAAAGGGCGCCGAAAATAGAATTGGAAGGAAGGTGATGATTTAGGGAGGAGAGAGAAAGTTTTGGGCGAAATTAGGGATTTCATTTTAGGTAAAGAAGGGTATAACATCCCCAGAATTTTCTGGGGAGGAGGAGAGAGAAACTGAGCTTAAAGCTTAGAGCTTAGACATGGCTATGGAGTTTGAAGATGAGAGGTTTTAGAGAGAGAAAGAGAGTGAGTTGCAGAAATTTGGATAGGAAAAAGGGTTTAAGGAGTTTTTTTTTTTTTCTTTTTTCTTCTTTTCTTTCCCTCCAAACTAGACCTTAAAACCCTAGTAAAGAAAAAATAATGGAGAAAAAAATTTGGTTGAAGTAATTAATTAATTAATTTGATTGATTGTCAATTGACATTCAATTGTCAGGTTATATATTCAAAGATATCATGATGTACTTGTGCTAATGCACGAGATTATCCCTAGCGAAAAGAAATAATCTTTGATTGTTAATTGATATTTGTGAGAAATTTTGTTTAAGAAAATTAAGTATGATTTCAAGTTGGTTTTTAGAGCCTTTTAGCTTTCTTCTTAAAACTAATTCATTTTATTTACATACTCGTACATAGTATTAGATATTAGGATGTGGTTTGGGTTTGGTATCGTGGTTTTAGAATCATGGTTTGATTTAGGTTTCTAACAAATAATTCGTATGATTTGTGCTTTGATTTGGTTTTCTAAACATTGAGATCGAATCCAATTAAAAACAAATTGATTGTGCAAGGGTACGGTTACTAAAAGTGATACAAAGTACAAAGTATTATTATAAGTTGGATTATAAATAAACATAATACGAGCATGTTATTATTTTACAGTAAACCTGTTATTGACCTATCACTCCTATGTGAGGGAAAAAACAATTTGTATGATGTGCAATTTGGCATAATTGCCAAAATGTCAAATTGATTGTATGTCCTTAAAAGCATCAAAATGAAGCAAGAAGCAACCACTCCTATTGACAATATTATATTGTAATTGAATTGAACTAGTCGAGTAGTTGCTGGTCAATATAAATATTTAGACTTAAAACTTGCAACCTATCGCTTAGAGTGCAAATGACTTACCATTTTACCAATTGATCTACACTTTTGTTATTTGATCTATTACACCAATAACATATACTGCCATATATATACATGCATGGTAATTTTTTTAATGAACAACCAAACCAATCAAGACAATGAATAATAAACACATGACTCATAATTTTTACCTATCCATTAATTATACATACCGCGTATTAATCATCATAATCATATCATTTGATAATACCCATTTATATTTAACAATTGTGTTAACAGGCTAATTAACAAGATATACATTCATGATCAAAATGGGTAATAAGCTACAGGCGGCTCTAGTTAAACTTAATTACTCAACACCATTTTTAAAAAAAATTAGAAATTACTTAAAGTTCAATTATGAGGCTTTACTTTTTCTAATCAAAGTTAGTATATACTTTGGGTGAACTACTCATGAAATATTACTTAAAAATTGGTGTACTATAAATATAAAACCTTGTGTTTTCTGTATGAGGCGAATTTGATCCCTAAAGCTAAGTTTAGCCCCATATTTAAAAAAAGATGCCTAAATTGCCTTTCCACATTATTATTCTTATCTCTGTAAAGGAACAAATCTTAGTCAGATATGATAATAAGTATACCTAATATATGTGTCCTAATGTTCTGTTTAACAGCTCTAGTATGTTGTAACCTCTTTTACTAACCATAATATACAGATGAATTATCATATTAACTGGAATATATATATATATATAACACGGTAAAATGTTAAACAAGGATTCTTGATAATTTCTTAAAACAAATGGGGCCTTACATATACTAAACGTAATATAAAAGAAGCAAAGCCTATGAATTTAATTAATAGCATCAGATTATGTTTGATTATGTCATCTCGACTTATTAAGGCAAATGATTTATCGTACAAAATGCAAGTATGTAGAACATAGAGAAAAACCAGACGACGTTGTGCATACTATATATACTATGTAGTCTTGTAGTTATAACATGTTTACTTCTAGATTCTTTTTTTTAAAATAAAAAAAAAAAAAGAGCCATAGATCGAACAAAACAGCAATATGAGTCACATGTTCAAAACAATAAGACACAAGATAAAACTGTAATTAATTTATTAGTATCATTTGACTAGAAGAGGGTAAAGCTTAATAGGTACATTGCATCTTAATCCCTATATTAAATTATTTATTAGATTAAGCCAGTAGTACTATATTATATAATAGGCTTTGAGGAAAAGGTCAATTCAACAAATATATATTACATAAAATGGAACCGCCTTTATAATAATTTAAATTAGTTTTATTTATACATAAAGAAAAGAAGTCTCCAATAATTAAAGAATCAGAATAGATATTAGGTTAGAAAATTATAATATATGTTGTGGTGATTTGCAAGCAAAGGCAGCATAATTTGATTACACATACATACATGATACATGTGGTACAGTGGGCTAATTGGAAACATTTTTTTTTTTTTTTTTTTACAACTTTGATTGGATTTTAATTAGCTGTTTAATTCTCTTTCAGGAAGTGGAAGCACAAAGTTATCCCTTCTGTGCTATTCACACATCTTGCTACCACTTTCTCCTTTTTCTTCCTTGATAATCTTTTATCGTATATTTATTTTGATTATAAAGTTAGGTTAAATAAAGTTCATTTTTTTACCTCAATAATTAGCTATCTTTTAACTACTATATATATGAACCTTCTTAGGAATCTAATGATTTGTAAATATATTTATAACTTGCATATATCCCAAGCTTCTTGGATGTACTACAATGACATGACGAGTATTCAATATACGGGTCCTTTTTTTCACTTAAAACGAACTAATTTGATCTTATTATATCTGATTTTATTCTACGTTTACAGCTGATTGGACCTAATCAACCCATTTAAGCCATAAGTGTCATACTCCTTGTATATACACATAAATAAAGATTGCATACTTCATATTTTATAAAGTCACCCAGGCCAAGTCTGGTAAAATAGTACAACAAATACAAAAATCCATTTTAATCATTTACCGTTGAATGGATAAAACATTGATGCATGATAATGTAAAATTTTATTATAATATAGTAAATTAAAACTTGATTTGACTTTGCATGTTCTATCTCATCCAAAATCATATAAATATGGTATATCGAATAAACATTGAAATTATGAGCCAAAAATGGTGTATTGGCGTATAAAGCTATCCATAATAGATGATATTGCATTAAAACAATAAATGATGGATTAAATTAAGAGATAGATTAGTATAGTGACAACGCAAATCATTTATGCCTTGCTCCCACATGAAGGAAACAAAGCATGTTATGTTATGTTGTCTTCATTAATTAAATATAGGAGTATGTAAGTGTAACACTAATTTTTTGCCAGGTGATTAGGTTGGCAATTTTGGTATAAATACCAACCTTATGCAGCAGGCCGCCGATTTATACATCCTACTACTATATTAAGTATTTTTATGCCTCACTAAATTTTGGCTAAAGAAGATGTATTTAATTACTATGGACTTGTTGCTTTCTTAAATGAAATCATAACGTACTGGCTCATCACTTTATTACGTAGTGCTCCGTATTATTTCCTCTCGTGAAAAAGTATATAACGTTCTTCTTCTATCTGATTTAATTTTATTATTGTCGCTGTACTGTAGGAATGAATCCCTATCCTCTTCCTATTATTATTGTGATATTTATATACCAATATTACAGAGTATCAAGGAAGCTATACAAAGAACCTAGGGAATAATACAAAGTCTAGGGACTAATACAATCATTGGGAATTATACAATCATTGGGACTGATACAAGCCTAGTAAATGCATCATCATATTACAACGGCTAATACACCCCCGCAGTCAAAGCGGGAGGTAATCGGACGCAAAGGCTGGCTCGAAAGTCTTCAAAGAGGATTTGTGGCAGCCCCTTGGTGAAGATATCGGCAATTTGGTAACGAGATGGAATGTGGAGCACTCGGACTTGACCACGACTTACTTTTTCCCGAATAAAGTGGATATCCATTTCGATATGTTTAGTTCAACGGGATTTCCAGCAAGATATACCGCACTAACGTTGTCACAATAGACAATTGTAGCCTTTGTAATGGGGCAACGAAGCTCTAACAGGAGGTTCCTTAACCAACATGATTCGGCTACTACATTAGCCACACCGCGGTACTCCGCTTCGGCACTTGAACGAGACATAGTAGGCTGCCGTTTGGCAGACCAAGAGATGAGATTTTCACCCAAAAAGATGCAATATCCCGATGTTGAACGGCGAGTATCCAGGCAGCCACCCCAATCGGCGTCGGTGTAGGATATTAGGCTCGAGAGAGAGGATGAGTGCAATTGGAGACCGAGCTTAAGAGTGCCTTGAATGTATCGGAGTATACGGCGAAGAGCTTGCATATGTTGTTGTCGTGGGTCATGCATAAACAAACATATTTGCTGAACCGCGTAGGAGATATCGGGCCTAGTAAATGTGAGATATTGTAATGCACCAGCAAGGCTTCGATAAAGAGTTGGGTCAGCAACTGGAGGGACCGAATTTGCACTCAATTTCGATTTAGAATCCACCGGGGTAGCTGATGGTTTACACGCTGACATGTTGGCACAGGCAAGGATGTCTTCTGCGTATGATCTTTGGGAAAGGAAAAGGCCGTTGGCTTGATGTGTGACAGAAATTCCGAGAAAGGAATTGAGAAGTCCGAGGTCTTTCATGGCGAACTCGGCTTGTAATTTGTCCATGATGGATTGTCGAAGAACTTTGGTGGAGGCCGTGAGAATTATGTCGTCGACATATAGTAAAATATAGGCAACCTCTTTGCCATGGCAGTAGATAAAAAGGGAATGATCACACTTGCTATGAATAAATCCGATCGTGGAGACAAATTTGGCAAACCGATGATACCAAGCCCGGGGAGCTTGTTTGAGACCGTAGAGAGCCTTTTGAAGTCGACACACATGATAAGGCTTTGTTTTATCACGAAGCCCGGGAGGTTGGTGCATATAGACGGTTTCATCAAGATCCCCATTTAAAAAAGCATTCTTGACATCCATTTGGTGAATGGACCAAGACTTGGAGAGAGCAATGCTTAGAACGGTGCAGATGGTTGCGGGTTTGACCACCGGGCTAAATGTTTCATCACAATCGATGCCAACCTGTTGATTCCTGTCATTGACAACAAGACGGGCTTTGTGCCTCTCAAACACACCGTTAGCATTTTTCTTGTGGCGATAAAGCCACATATAAGGAATGATATTGACATTAGCGGGTCGTGGCACCAACTCCCACGTCTTATTTTTAATTAGAGCATTAAATTCGTCAAACATGGCATTTTTCCAATTCGGGTCTTTGAGGGCAGCAATGGGATTTCGAGGTAAAGGGGAAGGGGAAACCGAGGTGTGAAGATTAAATAATCTTTTCGGTTTAAAGATGCCATGTGAGCTACGGGTTGCCATTTGAGGGGAAAGAGTAGTAGCATTGGACTGATTTGTGGAGTTAGAAGTAGGATTGGGCTGAGCATGTGGTGGCGAGGATGGGCCACGAGAAGGAGAGTGCTGCTGGAAAGTGCTGGGCCCAGAAGATGGACCAGCAGAATGAGGAGGGGAGGAGTGGGCCATGGGTGAAGGTTGATGAGTTGGGGTTTGCTGCTGGGCCGAGGGCTGAGGAGTGGTGGGAATTGTGTGGGCCGTGGGCTGCTGAGGGGTGGGGGGAAGTGTTTGGGCCGTGGGCTGCTGAGTGTGAGTAGTGTTTAGGTGAGAGAGCAAAGCTGGAGATAGGCCATGGTCCAAGAATTCATACGTGAATGCAGTGGGGGTGTGAACCTTGGCAAAAGGAAATTGTGTCTCATCAAAAATAACATGCCTAGATATGAAAATCTTGTTAGTTGACATGTCATAGCACTTATATCCGCGGTGATTAGGAGGGTAACCTAGGAAGACACACGGGGTGGACCGGGCTTGGAGTTTATTGATGGAGGTGGATGAGAAGAGAGGGTAGCATAAGCAACCAAACACACAGAGATGAGAGTAAGAAGGATTTTTTTGGTATAGAATTTGAGTGGGAGAGTTGAGATTGATTATTTTGGATGGAAGAATGTTATGTAAGTAGGTTGCCATTTGTAAGGCATGATGCCAAAATGAGGGTGGCATGGATGAGTGAGCTAGAAGGGTGCGAATCATATTATTTATAGTGCGAATTTTTCTTTCCGCTTTGCCATTTTGAGAGGAGGTGTGGAGGCAAGAAAAGCGAAAAAGCATGCCATTTTGCTCACAAAATTGTTTAAAGGGGCCATTATCATATTCTTTCCCATTGTCACATTGAAAGCATTTTATTTCCCTTTCAAATTGAGTTTTGGCATAGCTACGAAATTGTAAGAAATAAGAGTGAACTTGAGATTTTTTGCATATGGGAAAAGTCCACAAGAAATTACTAAAATCATCCAAAAATAATACATAGTAAAGGTGACCCGCGGAGCTTAATTTTGGGGAGGTCCATACATCACTATGCACTATGTCAAATGGCAAGCAAGTATGAGAATTAGAGTCATAAAATGGCATTTTAACATGTTTACCAAGAGGACAAGAAGGACAAATAGAAGAGCTAACAAGTCTATTACAATTGACAAAATTATTTCTGCTAAGAGAAGCTAAGATAGTAGTGTCGGGGTGTCCAAGTCGGTCATGCCAAAGAGAAGGAGAGAGGGCAGCGAAAGTGGAGTGAGGAGAGACAAGTTTGGTGGCGGTGGAGATGGGGTAGAGATCACCGACACTATCACATCGCATAAGATGACTCCCCGTCGATAGGTCCTTCATAGAGAAACCAAACGGGTCAAATTCAATAGACACCCAATTATCACAAGTAAACTTTCTAACCGAAATCAGATTTTTAATAAGTTTGGGAGCATGTAGGACATCTTTTAGGGAAAAGGGAGGATGTGGGAAGGGAAGAGAGGTGCTACCAATACCGCGAATCGGAATGCCATGTCCATTTCCAACAATAATATTTCTTTCATTGCTCAAATTAAAGTAAGACGAGAGAGTACTTGACTGAGATGTCATATGGGAGGTGGCGTCGGTGTCCATGTACCACCCGTCGTCCGGTGGATTGAGAGATAGAGTGTGCATTGCCGCATCGATTTCGGTTGGAGCATAGGCAGTTGATGGACCTTGAGCAGAGTAAGCTTGATGTGTTTGAGGACGTGGGCCGAGTAAGCCTTGTTGGCGTGAAGGAGGAGGCCGGGCCCAAGAAGAGGTGGGATATGGGCAAGGGGGCATGGCCCATTGAGGTGGCCATTGAGCCCAAGGAGGGAAACTGGCCTGCTGCTGCCATGGACTCCACGACTACCACGGCTGGTTGCCACGGTTGGAGTGTTGAGGCTGTTGGTGGTTGCGACCTCCGTTGTTCCGGCCCCTGCCACGGCCGCCGCTGCCACCGCGATTCCGGCCACCGTGATTGCCGCGGTTATTTCCCCTGTTTTTGCGGTAATTTTGGCGAGCATGAGTGTCATTCGAGGAGTGATTATCGTCAGATTGGTTCCCGGAATTGTTTCCGGCAGCAAATAGAGCAGAACCGGCAGTGATGGCTTCGCTGGTGGCTTGAGACGCAAGGCGAGACTCTTCGAGGCTTAGCATTGACCTTGCCTTATAGAAGGAGGGTAGAGGATCGGATTGTTGAATGATGGCAGCCACACCATCATATGACTTGGGTAGGCCGCGAATGAGGGTAAGAACAAGGCGTTGATTGTTGACCGGAGCGTCGACATTGGCTATTTGATCGGAGATCATTTTTACCTCTTGGCAGTAGGCATTAATATCCGGAAAATTTTTCATCTCAATGTTTGAAAATAATTCCTCCAATTGTACTGCTCTGGAGCTTTTGTTGTCTTGGAATATGTCTTGCAAACGTTCCCACGCTTGTTGGGCCGTAGAGTTAGGTTCGAGAATGGTGTTCATGAGATCATTAGAGATCGTGCTGTAGATCCATTGGAGGACAATGGCATCCAATCGAATCCAGAGAGCGGTGTCGGCTGTTTCATCTTTATCCTTGGGAGGGATGATGTGGTCGATAACATCATGAGCACGATCATGAATTTTAAATAATTCTGCCCAAGAGGAGTATTGAACATTTTTGAATTCAAGGGTAATGGGAATTACGCTGCGAATATTATTCACAGTCATGGCAGGGTGAATTGAGGGAGATTTTGGAGGATTGTCACCCATGGTGGACGAAAAGAAGGAGAAGAAAGAGGCAGAGAGATTAAGAAGAGATAGATATGGAAGAAAACCTAACCTAGCCTGATACCATGTAGGAATGAATCCCTGTCCTCTTCCTATTATTACTGTGGTATTTATATACCAATATTACAGAGTATCAAGGAAGCTATACAAAGAACCTAGGGAATAATACAAAGTCTAGGGACTAATACAATCATTGGGAATTATACAATCATTGGGACTGATACAAGCCTAGTAAATGCATCATCATATTACAACGGCTAATAGTCACTACTATTATTGATGTGAAGGAATTAAGTCGCAAGATCGAATAATGATGTAAATAGTATTTGAATACAAAATTTGATTATAGGTTTAAGGTATCAACCCTAATTAAGGACTTTATTTAACAGAATTATTTGGCATCGGTCCAATGGATAGTTGACTTAAGTTATGGGAATCCTTTGATTTGGTGGGAGTAAAAGCTATGACAAAAACTTGTTAAAAAGTAAGAAGAGAACCTTGTTTTTTAGCTACTATCTCTACTAGTAGAGGATGGAATAATGAAGAGATTTTATTGGAATAGTATTTTCAAGGTCATGTAGATAGTGGGCCTAATTTTGATTAAAGGGAAAATAAAATTAGTTCGAGTGTGTCCGACTTATCTAGGTATGACTTAATCCATGGAGTACTAGAATGGAAGGTGATGCCTCAACTACTAGACTATGATCTATTCCTCATTAATTCAAATGTTCACATCTTGATATTAGTATGTCACGTATTTACATCAAGGGTTTATTAGTCCCCTTTTAACACCCCCAAACAATAATAAATATATACACGTTTTATTTTTATAATTTTAGTCATATATATATATATATATATATATATATATATATATATATATATATATATATATATATATGTCATGTGCATGCGTTTTATCAATTTTGTAGAGTAGTCTATTTACAATTAAGGTAAAATCACATGAGTAATGTATTGGTTCACCATACATCATGTTTACATCTAAAAACCAGCGTTAAGGATTTAAGATACGTATATTTTCATCATAAATAATGTGTATTTTATCATTAGTAAAGTAGTGTTTAGATTGGACAATGGGCGCAATACGTACCTTGGTTTGTTGTATGGACAACAATTACATCCTTATGAGTGAAATGATTATTAAATCATTCTTAATGTAATTTTCCTTCTTGTATTGTACTATTGTCATTTAATACTTTTTCCGTTTCCCTAATATGGCAACAAGGGGAAAAGATACATAATTTGAGATGATGATAGAGAAAAATAAAGATAGGGACTTATGTGATGAGGAGAGAATCTGAGAGAAAACATGTGCATCTATGATAATATTGCAATATTGGTAAATTTTTTATAAATGATAATTGTTGCATTAGTAGGGTAACGAAGGACGTATGGAGTACTCCGTATGAGTTTAGGCTCATCCCAAATATATAGATGAGGTAACGTACAATGCTTGACAAAAGAAACACGAGCACGAGTAAGCGTGGATTGTTTACAATTGTGCTATGCCTATAGCATGCCGAGAGAGCTTGGTTATGTATCTACATTACTTGCATTATAGTCTATTTTATTTAAAGTTTTCTTATAATAGAGAAATACAAAATACAAAATTTACATAATAAAATTTCCTAATATATATGCTCAGGTAATTATGAAATGATTCCTTCCCTATCATTTATGCAAACAATTAGGGCTAATATGAACCCTATAAGACCCATCTTTTATCTTTTAGTGTATATATCCTATTTTACTAGTTTTTTTTTTTTTTTTTTTCCTTCTCATTAGTTAGCAAACAACTTGTTTCTAACATGTTTACGCTGACAATTGTTAGCCGTGTCAAATAAAATCTTCTCGTTTATATCATAAAATATTTTTCTACGAAATGAATACATTGAAAATATTATATACTATATTTGGAGTTGTTACGAATAATCAAGATTGCATATACTCCATTTCATTTTCACATTTATCATATCATTTATGCAAAATTTGATTTTTTTTATAGGTGGGAGCAATGGATTATTGACAATCACAAATTATAACAACTTGTATAATCATGTTAATAAGAGAGACTTATTCACTGTTTTATATATTATAAGAAATAATACTCCGTAATTCAAAGTTTAGTTCATTTCACTATTATACCTCCCCACTTCACTCATTTTTTAACCTTGATTCTCAAGGTAATTATTGAGTTTTATTTTCTATATAAGTTTTAATTTTGTATTTATCAATCAAAATTCTAAAATTTTGAAAAAAAGAAAAGAAAAAAAGAATAAAAAATTAAAAAAAGAGAAGGTAAAGAAGAGGCCATACACTCAACTTTTGAAATCCAACTTAAAAACTGGCAAGTCACCATCTCTCTCTCTCTCCTCCCCATTTCTGCCCATTTATTATTTTTATCTCCTTTTTTTTAAGCTCTCTTTACATATAATACCCTCTTTCCTCTCTTTCTCAATCCTCTGTTTTTTCTTCCATTAGATTTTTCTCTTCAATCAGAATTTTGTAAGAACGCCTATAAATTCAAAAAAAAAGGAAAAAAAGAAAAAAAAAAAAGAGGGGGTTGAGGAGAGAAGAAGAAGAAGAAGGGAGGAGGACCTAATCTCTCTCTTGTTCTTGTTTTAAACCTCCTCTTAGATCCATTAATTTATATTTATTGGGTTTTTACCCCCTACAAATTTAAAAATCTGGTACTGATTTCTGCAATTTTTCATTTCTAATTTAAAGTTTTTAACTTTGATTACGTGGGTTTTGATTGAAATTTTCTGGGTTTTTATTGAAATCCCAGATTATGGATTTGATTGATCATTGATCTAACACTTACCCATGAAGGATCTGTTGATTTTATATTGATTTAAGAAATACCCATTTGGTTCTAACCATAATTCTGAACTTTTTAATAATAATATGATTGTTTGATATAATATATGATATGGATTTAGCATATTGTTGCTGTTTTAGTTGTGTTGGATCCGTTAGTTTTATATGCTATTTACCCCGTGGTGATTATATTATAGTTTTATTATATGGTTCGGACATGTTTTTGGGTGGAATTATGTAGAAGCTTTATGAATTTTCAAGTGTATGGATATTTGATGTTGTTTTGGATGTTCAACATCATTGATAGATTGGAAGATGGAGCCAGGGAAGCTTTTCATTGGTGGGATTTCTTGGGATACAAATGAAGATCGTCTGAGGGAGTATTTTCAAACATTTGGTGAGGTGGTTGAGGCTGTGATCATGAAGGATCGAGCAACGGGCCGTGCTCGTGGGTTCGGCTTTGTTATCTATGCTGACCCGGCTGTTGCTGAGAGAGTTGTGAGGCAGAAGCATATGATAGATGGCAGAACTGTAAGATGATTGCCTATTTCATATTGTGATTCTCTTATTAATTTTGGTGTGTGTTTTATGTATTAATAATTGTTGCCTTTTTGATATAGGAAGTGCTAATTGTGATTGTTAGCATTTATGGTGGAGGTATAATTTGATTGTTTGTACCTAAATGTCACATACATAGTTTAGAGGTGCTCAATTCATTAGAATTGAGCTAGATTGTATGTTCATTTTAGTCATTTTTGTTATCATGGATCTATATATCGATATTAAGAGAGAAAAATGAAAGAATTCTATAAAGGTAACAGAGAATAATAAGTTCTGATGATGTAACTCGATTAAATTTAATCATATGAAGCAGTTTAACATGACATCGCGATTACTGATGGTGTATAATGTGCTTAAATTAATCTACTCTTGAAGCTCCTGATTAACAACTTGCCATTATTTTAATAACTTTCTTATTGGTATCTGCCTTTTAAAATGCCAATCAGTTTTTGAACTCAAGTACACGTTTGAGGTGTTGATTGATGTTCCACAATGCTGTGATAAATTACATTCAGAAGCTTGAGATGTTAACTAACACAGTTCAATTAATTGTATGTGATCAGGTTGAGGCAAAGAAGGCTGTTCCTAGAGATGATCAGCATGTTCTGACCAGAAACCACAACAGCCCTAGTGCATCGCCAGTGCCTACTCGCACAAAGAAGATATTTGTGGGGGGCTTACCATCTACTGTGACTGAAGGGGACTTCAAAAGGTACTTTGATCAGTTTGGGATTATCACTGATGTTGTGGTTATGTATGATCACAACACACAAAGGCCAAGAGGCTTTGGATTCATAACCTTTGACTCAGAAGATGCAGTTGAGAGAGCACTGATGAAAACCTTTCATGAACTCAATGGTAAAATGGTTGAGGTCAAACGAGCTGTTCCCAAAGAGCTATCACCTGGGCCAACTAGGAGTCCTTTAGGTGGTGGTAGTGGTGGACTTACTAGAGTTAATAGCTTCCTCAATGGCTATACACAGGGCTACAATCCGAGCCCAATTGGAGGACATGGATTGAAACTTGATGAACGCCAAAGTCCCATGCCTTTTGCTCGAGGTGGATTCCCTTCATTTAGCCCTTCTAGTTTTGGTAGTGCCTTGAATTATGAGCCAAGAATGAGTCCAGGCTTTGGGGAAACTGCAAATCTCTTTCCAAAGTTGAACTTTGAGCAAGGTTTAAGTGCATTGCATAATGGCAACATCAATAGACACGACAGCTTTGCCGAGTTTGATGGGGTGAACAGGGGTAGTGCTTCCACCATTGGCTCATCTTCCTGGAGCTTGTGGGGAAATGGAAATGGAAATGGGAGCATTATTGACACTTCTATCACTGGAAACAATGCTTCTATGAACTTTAGGGATATTGAGGCAGATGCTCTTAAGAATAGTGAGCTCATTTGGAATACTTCTGCCATTCCTGTTCAAGGCGGAGGGCGTGCTTCTGTCTCAAATGGTCTCAGCCTTAGCTTTGGTCGGGAAGATAACAATCTTGGATCAGCAATGGGATTGTATGGTAGAGACATCAGAACCAGGACCCAACCTGTATCATCTTTTCCTACATTAGATGGTGGATTTGAT